AAATACTTGTAATATGTTAAAGGCTGGCCATACTCTCATATTTTCTTTCTAATGGTCAACACATCCCATGACATTTATAAACGATGCATACGCACAAAATGAGGTGTGAAAGAGGCGTGCACCATTTTTCATGCTAAAGTTGTGATGTATAAAAACAGACTTGATGGAGAAACTCTGACGCATGCTGACGGACATGTTGGAGACAAGAAATTGTCGAGGCTGAAGCCTGACTGTACAAATGGTCAAATATTTTTTGGCGCACTCCTTTTTTGGATTTTGTCCATACATAGATTTTCAGTCTGGATCCTGCACATTGTTTCATAAATGTGACCCCAGATGCTATTTTTTATAAATGGTCTCAAATGTACAGCAGAGTTTGGTTTTGACGCTCAGACGAAACAGGATTCATTTAAGTGTTTAAAGGGGAGCTGTTGATGTTAAGAAACATCAGCAGCATGCACAACATGAGCCTGTCACAAACCTTGTCTTGTACTTGAGGGAAAGAGCCTTCCAGAAGTCAATTTCCTCGTCTTTCGAGGAGAATTTTGGGATCATATCCGTTTCCATGGCAAACAAATCTGGAGAGGAAGGAACAAAGAAAACAGGAGTGATTACAGCCAGACAAAAAAAGGCAAAGTTAATCACACAGTCTTGAATCTGTTGAGATGAGCTGATGAACCTTTTGAGCAAACTCTCTACGTCTACCTCGTTTATTAATTCAATAACCTGAAATCTGTCTGCGCTCTATAAAAAGGCAGCAAGAGACAAATCAGTGATTTAAACCACAGCTAGGAATTAATCATCAAAAGTTCTCCCTGCAGACTGCCAGACACCCAGAGGAGTCCTCCTCACACAGATCTACACACTCCTCAGATATTAACACCATCACAGCATCCGTGTTTCTTACATGTGCTTTTTGAACTAAACAGCATTTTATATCTGATTAACAGACTTTAATAAGTTTAAATAGATCCTAAAACAGGTCTGCTGACGCTGTACACGAGCACACATCTGTAACACTGCAGCAGTATTTATCTGAAGCGTCTTCAACATGCACTTTATTCATCAGCCTACAGACTGAAAATATATGTTGCAGATTTAAACAATAAAACATCTCCCAGAGGTTAAAGTTGTGTCCAGGAGCCCCTTCATCACACTGACTCATCATTAGAGTCACAACCACAGTTAAACCCCCGAACACCAAACTAGTGCTGAGCAGCAGACGCAGACGCAGACGCAGACACCAACACCAACACCATCAAACGCCTCAATGAGAAACTAGTATATTTTAGTCGACATTAATACGCTCACACTGACCTTGGGCATGCAGCAGCTCACCTGGTGGAGCAGGTGCCCCAGATACAAAGGCTTTGTTCTCGCCGCAGCGGCTGGTGGTTCAATTTAGACCCTTTCACACTAAAACTTTCCCATCGATTAAAGACAAAAATATCTTTATGACAATGTTCCCTGTGACCTACAAAGGCTGCGGATCAAAAGAAGCTCATGAGACAAACAAACAATGTGGAGTCAGTGTTTGCTCAGGATCTTTTGTCCTTGTGACCCGTCTTTGAAACAGGTTTACTTTCACCTGGTTTCTGTTTTGTTTTCCATCTTGAATTAACAGGAAACAAAAAGGGAAGAAGATGTTTGACCTGAAAACCCAACACAGAGTCAACAGCAGCTGAGACCAGTTTGTTCACTTAGCATTTACTTAAAGTAAGAGAAAGTAAAGCACCAATACCTCTGAGCTGCACTTCAGCATTTCCATTTACAAGGTCATCATGTGCGTCACAAAGTCAGATCACAGTATATGTGTTTCCGCACCTCTTGGCATACAGCGTCACACTTCTCTGTGGTGTTTTTAATCTACGTTTGAATCTTGGTGAATCTTCTGTTGGCGTGTCAGACAAGTTAACCAGGCCGAGCCAAAGTGAAAGCACCAACAGCCAAACCCACAGTATCGTCGCAACATCGATATTGAGGTCAAAAATACTGTGACATATAATTTTCTCCGTATCATCGCCCGGCCCTTGTATACTGTGTGTGTGTGTGTGTGTGTGTGTATATATATATATATATATATATATATATATGTCCCTGCACACTGCATATTGTTGTCATCCTTTATACTGTGAACCTCTGCACTAAGGTTGCAACAGTGTGAGATGTTCACTGTACAAAAACCGTCTCAAAACTCATTGTGATTTCACAGTGTCACAGAATTTATATTATTATCAGTCAGAAGGGAAACAGAAGGATTATTGTTGGTTGAGCCAATGTTTTATTACTGTAATTGAAACATGAAACTATTTTGTTCTGGAAGTTTGTGTAAAAAGTCGTCTTTGACAGTAACTAAAATAAAGAGGAGATTATCTGCCTCGTTGCATTTCCTTTAGTATCGCAGATAAGCAAATGTACACTGTGTGATAACAGTCAACTTTTATATCACTGCATATCGCTGCAACTGCACTCTGCACATCCCTTCAATTATATGTGTGCACATGCCCGGCTCTTTCATTTTAAACAGTTATATTGTTCAGATTTTTAAAGCGTATTTTGAATATTTGATTTGCGGCATATGACTACGCTTCATGTCTCTGCACCAAGACACAAGGCTAATGTCTTGTGAGTGAAAACCTACCCTAAATATTAAACTGTTCCAACCAGTGCATGTTTAGTTATGGAACAACAGGTGGACATAAAATCAAGCAGCCAGAGCATCTTGTGGGCAGAAATAACAACACATTTCTGCTTTACAAAAACCAAACCAGTTCAGTGAGGTGAAAATAAACTGTGTTGCATTTGTGTCCAAAACATGTGGTGCCCTCACACAACAGGGTCAGAGACACAACAACACTTGAGAGGCAGAGACAGGTCAAAGATCACCAGATGCTTCTGCTGTGTCAAGTATCATCAAGCATTAACATTGAATGAAACATGTCACAGACACAGATGGGTGAGGAAACACACACTGAACTCTGCAGCTCAGCCAGACACAAACCTTAATCAGCAGTCACTCACTCACTCATTCACTCATTCATACAGTATGTTGCCCTGCAAACATCTCATCCTGTGATTCCCTGAATAATTCAGCTCCACATCACATCCAACCAGCAGCCTGCTGGGAATCTCAGATGTTACTACAGTGGAGGGAAAACGCAACACAAGCCATTTTAACAGCATCATAAATCCTGTGTGCTCCTTACATTAAATACAAACACCATTAAATAGCTTTATGGTGCACTGTGGACTTTACAGAATAACAATGATTTTCTTTTGTTCTGTAAAATGAGGATTAAATATATGTGAAGTGTGTCCTGTATTAACACACTGATTGAACACTGAGCGTGTCCAGGTGACACATTATGAGGTTTCCTAACGAGACAAGAGATTTAACTAAATGCACTAAACACGTTACATCAGTATGTGGTGATAACATGAAGCAGGAGCAGAGATGCCACCGACACATGATGCTGAGCTCAGCTGTCAAACTGGGTGTGCAAACAAGCCGCGGGTCACCGCCGACATGTTGGCTCTGGTGCTTTAGTTTCACCGCTTCTCCACCACAGACACAGACACATGAGGTCATAATATGTTTCTTACCTGAACATCGCCTCACACACTGATGCTGATCAGTCCATGATGTCCGCTGCTGTGAGCTCAGCTGCTGAGGAAGACCCGTCTCCTCTGATGAAGATGAAGATCTGCTGCTGCTGCTGCTGCTGCTGCTGCTCCGTGTTTAAAGGACAGTACACCCTAAATATAAATATCACCTCCTCTCATATATGTGTGCGGCTCAGGTTTCATTAAAGTGTTAAACAGTCAGCTGTTGTGTTTCCAGTCACAGCTCGGACAAACAGACGTAAATAATCACAGTCAACACCGGTTAAATGACAAAATGAATACAAACTGATTTTAGGGTGGATTTCCTCTTTAGTCACGTGATGTGTTGTGTTCACGAGCTTCACTGCGGCACACAAGCTGCGCATAGCAACCACATAGCAACGCATAGTTAATGTGAGATTAGCACCACCTGCTGGTCAGCGGCCGCAACTGTGTCAGGTATTACACCTGTTTTATTTTATGATCATTATGTCATTAAAGCCTATAAATAAATAAATAAATAAATAAATAAATAAAGTCCTGGGTTTAACAGGTTAATGTGTGAACAAAGTGATAATGTGTTCTTGTGTCAACCCATCTGTATGAAAAATAAATTTAAAAAAAAGAAAGAAAAATTGATCATGAGTTCAAAATATATTGAAGGTAAATCAAAATGCCAATTTAATTTGTAAAGATTATGAGATAGTGAGTCAAAGTTATGAGACAAAAAGCTCACCTTTATCCTGCGGATCTAAACTGTAAGATAGTAAATCAATGTTCAATTAAAAATCCAAATTATTACTTACAATGTCAAATTTATGATGGAAATTATGATTATAATTAAGTCAAAGTTATGAGATACTTTTTCATAAACCTACAAATCAACACTATGAGACAGGAAAATAAAAAGGTAATGTATCCAATAGATAAGAAGTCAAAATTATTAAATCTCAAGTCTTAATAATGAGTTCAAATTTTAATTTAAGAAGACAAAATGAAGAGAGTAACTTTAAGTCAAAGTCACAAGGAAAAAGCTCACATTGTCTCTTGTGAATCAAAGTTATGAGATAATGAATCAATGTTATTCGCTACAAAACAATACTTATGATAAAATTATAAAATACATCATAGCTGTGAGAGACTGCTCCCCACCTACACATTAAAAGTATAATACTAGTAAATTAAAAAAAACATTTAGATTATGAATCTATTGAAAGTTACTAGATAAAAGATTTTTACCTCAGGAAGTCAAAATAATAATTTCTAAATTAATATAAATCAAAGTTATGAAATTAAATGGTGAATTAAAGTTATGAGATAAAAAGTCCAAATGTTCACATCTATAATTACGTTAGTGACGTCAGGCGCGTCTTGGCTTGACGTGTTACCATGGTAACCAGCAGAGTGTTGTTAGCTGAATGTAGACACCATGTCCACTGCAAAGAGACAAAGCAGCTTGTCTCGGGGACAGACTGACTGGGAGGAGACAGAGACCATGTTGGAAGCGCTTCATGGAGACATGAGAGAGGTTTGTGTCCTGTCACGGTGCAGCTAGCTAACAAAGCTAACACAGCTAACAGAGCTAACGTAGCTAACATGAGGAGTAACGGTAATAACGGTCCGGTAACGTGATCCGCAGGGAAACACTGACAATAAGGCCCCAAAACACGACGCAACCATCAGTGACGTGGCTCATTGATCACAGAGAAGTGTTCCTCTATAAAACATCATGACAGAGTCTTTACTCAAACATAATATCACCTGCTGAAACAGGAAGTGATGGCAGAAGTATCCTGCTCACATCTCAGGTAACGTTATAAAGGGTAGAAATACTCCGTTACAAATGGAAGTAATCTGGCTTGCTGCATTAAGTAATACTTATGTAAGTAAAAGTACAACAGTAATAAAGATCAGTTAACTCCTGACCTGTAATAACAGTTACATCATCATTTATTAATTTATTAACCTGCAAACAAGTAACTACAGTCAGTGACATGTAGACTGGTGCAGTACAAGTATAAAGACATCAAATGGTAATTCTCAAATGAATTGTACTTAAGTACAGTCATGTACTGATTACTAAACGGGTCTACTGGGCACAGGCCCAGGGGCCCAAAGCGTCAGGGGCCCCTCTGTCCTTCACCTGCAAAATGTAACACAATTTAACATGTACGACCAGGATGAGACTTAAAGACCACAAAGATTCAAAAGAACTTCAAAGAGATAAAAAGAACTACACAAAGGGGCAAAATAAATTAAAAAAGACACAATATTCCCCCACAGACACAAAATGGCTACATAAAGACACCAAAGAAAAGTGATATAAAATGACCCCAAAATTACCACAAAGAGACACAAAACCACAGAGAAATTGCATAATCACTACAAAGAGATGCAAAACCTCCAAAAAAGACACAAAATTACCTCAAAATAACATAAAATTCATAAAATGACTGCAAAGAGACACAAAACAACACAAAAAGTCATAAAGTGACTGCAGAGAGACACAAAACGACCAAAAAAGTCATAAAATGACTGCAAACAGACACAAAACGACCAAAAAAGTCATAAAATGACTGCAGAGAGACCCCATATGACTGAAAAAGTCATGAAATGACTGCAGAGAGACACAAAACGACCGAAAAAGTCATAAAATGATTGCAAAGAGACACAAAACAACCCAAAAAGTCATAAAATGACTGCAAAGAGACACAATATGACTGTAAAAGTCATGAAATGACTGCAAAGAGACACAAAACGACCCAAAAAGTCATGAAATGACTGCAAACAGACACAAAACGACCGAAAAAGTCATAAAATGACTGCAGAGAGACCCCATATGACTGAAAAAGTCATGAAATGACTGCAGAGAGACACAAAACGACCGAAAAAGTCATAAAATGATTGCAAAGAGACACAAAACAACCCAAAAAGTCATAAAATGACTGCAAAGAGACACAATATGACTGTAAAAGTCATGAAATGACTGCAAAGAGACACAAAACGACCCAAAAAGTCATGAAATGACTGCAAACAGACACAAAACGACCGAAAAAGTCATAAAATGACTGCAAAGAGACACAATATGACTGTAAAAGTCATGAAATGACTGCAAAGAGACACAAAATGACCGAAAAAGTCATGAAATGACTGCAGAGAGACACAAAACGACCCAAAAAGTCATAAAATGACTGCAAACAGACACAAAACGACCGAAAAAGTCATAAAATGACTGCAAAGAGACACAATATGACTGTAAAAGTCATGAAATGACTGCAAAGAGACACAAAACGACCCAAAAAGTCATGAAATGACTGCAAACAGACACAAAACGACCGAAAAAGTCATAAAATGACTGCAAAGAGACACAATATGACTGTAAAAGTCATGAAATGACTGCAAAGAGACACAAAACGACCCAAAAAGTCATGAAATGACTGCAGAGAGACACAAAACGACCGAAAAAGTCATAAAATGACTGCAAAGAGACACAATATGACTGTAAAAGTCATGAAATGACTGCAAAGAGACACAAAACGACCCAAAAAGTCATGAAATGACTGCAGAGACACAAAACGACCCAAAAAGTCATAAAATGACTGCAAACAGACACAAAACGACCGAAAAAGTCATAAAATGACTGCAAAGAGACACAATATGACTGTAAAAGTCATGAAATGACTGCAAAGAGACACAAAACGACCGAAAAAGTCATGAAATGACTGCAGAGAGACACAAAACGACCCAAAAAGTCATAAAATGACTGCAAACAGACACAAAACGACCGAAAAAGTCATAAAATGACTGCAAAGAGACACAATATGACTGTAAAAGTCATGAAATGACTGCAAAGAGACACAAAACGACCCAAAAAGTCATGAAATGACTGCAGAGAGACACAAAACGACCGAAAAAGTCATAAAATGACTGCAAAGAGACACAATATGACTGTAAAAGTCATGAAATGACTGCAAAGAGACACAAAACGACCGAAAAAGTCATGAAATGACTGCAGAGAGACACAAAACGACCCAAAAAGTCATAAAATGACTGCAAACAGACACAAAACGACCGAAAAAGTCATAAAATGACTGCAAAGAGACACAATATGACTGTAAAAGTCATGAAATGACTGCAAAGAGACACAAAACGACCGAAAAAGTCATGAAATGACTGCAGAGAGACACAAAACGACCCAAAAAGTCATAAAATGACTGCAAACAGACACAAAACAACCGAAAAAGTCATAAAATGACTGCAATGAGACACAATATGACTGTAAAAGTCATAAAATGACTGCAAAGAGACACACAACGACCCAAAATGTCATTAAGTGACTGCAGAGACACAAAACGACCGAAAAAGTCATAAAATGACTGCAAACAGACACAGAACGACCGAAAAAGTCATGAAATGACTGCAAAGAGACACAAAACAACCAAAAAAGTCATAAAATGACTGCAGAGAGACACAAAACGACCCCAAAAGTCATAAAATGACTGCAGAGACACAAAACAACCCAAAAAGTCATAAAATGACTGCAAACAGACACAAAACGACCGAAAGTCATGAAATGACTGCAGAGAGACACAAAACGACCGAAAAAGTCATAAAATGACTGCAAAGAGACACAATATGACTGTAAAAATCATAAAATGACTGCAAAGAGACATAAAACGATCCAAAAAGTCATGAAATGACTGCAGAGAGACACAAAACGACCCAAAAAGTCATAAAATGACTGCAAACAGACACAAAACGACCAAAAAAGTCATAAAATGACTGCAAAGAGACACAATATGACTGTAAAAGTCATGAAATGACTGCAAAGAGACACACAACGACCCAAAAAGTCATTAAGTGACTGCAGAGAGACACAAAACGACCGAAAAAGTTATAAAATGACTGCAAACAGACACAAAACGACCGAAAAAGTCATGAAATGACTGCAAAGAGACACAAAATGACCGAAAAAGTCATAAAATGACTGCAGAGAGACACAAAACGACTGAAAAAGTCATTAAGTGACTGCAAAGAGACACAAAACGACCAAAAAGTCATGAAATGACTGCAGAGAGACACAAAACGACCCAAAAAGTCATGAAATGACTGCAGAGAGACACAAAACGACCACAACAGGATGCATAACAACAAAATAAGAGTCAAAAGTCTGTGCGTCTCGTCCTCATGTAGGAGAGGTGGTGGGGCTTTGTGCATATCTGTGCCCAGGGGCCCATTGTCTCATAATTCAGCCATGAGTACAGTACTTGAGTAAATGTAGTTAGTTACTTTCCACCACTGAGTAAATACAGCACGTTTTAGTTTTTGGTAATAGATTATCAGTAATGCTCCAACATGGGTGTTTGGAAGCATAAAACATAGGTCTGTTTTTAACGGTACAAATGATGGTTTACTCTCACAAACACACTTTCCAACTCCACATCTGAACTGCAGTTCTTTTATTATAAGAATAATTTAATTAGATTTCATAGAAAAGAGTTGGAAGACTTTGAATTTTATATTTTTAAGACTATTTTTTCTTTTTCACATGAACCCAGTCTGATCACAGGAACGGACCAGCAGCTTTAGACCAAACACAGTTTATCATCTGATCGCTGCTGCATCCTCTGCCGTCCCCATATGTACACTGTACTCTCCTATTGGCCTTCAGTACCTGAAACACTAAGCTGTCCCTGCCTGTGATTGGCTCGTGTGTTTGTGGTGTATATATCTGTAATTGCATCAGCAGGCTTGGTTTAATAGCATTTGGGGAACAATAGGTTTCCAGGATATAAGCTTTTATAAACACAGAGGCCACGCCGCTCGCTAAGACTTCACTCACTCAGTGCTCGAACTGGACGCAGAGAAAGTAAGATGGAAGACAGGAAAGCAGAGGAGAAGAAAGAGGAAGGAGCTGGGACTAGTTTATTTCACCAGCTTATGGCACAGAGAACGGATGTGGACGAAGATGCGGTTTGTATTTGATTAGAGATAAGAGGAAAACAATAATTGTTTTAACAGGTTCTGATATTTGTCACATGAACAACTATTAGCTTGTTTCGTAGTGATGTTGCAGTGTGAAGAATAAATAAATATATATATTAAAACATAGTGGTATTATTAAAATGTGCATGTTATTATGATGTACTGTGTGTGCCGACCCGTTTGCACTCTGCAGGACTTTCTGTCACTCTGCAGGTTTTCTAAGACTGTTCTTCATTGTCTCGTCCACAGAGGATCGTGCTACAGCGGCTGATAGTGATTGCTCGCCTCCCCCGCCATCTTGCTGACAGGACAGAACTGGGAGGTCAGCCAGAATTACCTTGGAGCTACAAAGACCCAGAGCACAGTCGCTCAGAACATCCCTTCATTCCAATCAGTGAACTAATCAGCTAATACCAAATCAATCCTGTTTTCCTTCAGGGGAAATGAAGGCTGATGGAAATCTTACAGATTTATAGATCTATAATGTGTACACAACATTTCTGTGAAAACACACAGACAAACATTTCCAGTCTCTTAAAGTCACAGCAAAGTGCTGCAGCTGCTGTCAGAGCAGAGAGAGGCTCTCGTTTCTCTTGTCTGAGTGTTTTTACAGCTCTCACACGTCTTTGTGTGCGTCTGCAGCGTCTCCTCGTGAGAGCGCTTTGTGTTTGCTGCTCAAGGAAAGTTTCCACAAAAATCCCACAATAATAAAAGCTTCAGGAAAAGGCTGAAACTGTGTGTTGACAATGGAGCTGTGCTCTCATGTCTCTGTGTCTGTTGTCTGCAACAAACCCACACTGCTGTGTTGTTTGTCTCCACACAGCTCATTATGAGAAACTCAACTTTCAGCTCAGCAAACAGTTCATCTGGGATCAAATGACGGGCCTGCTGCTGATTTATCCGTCCTGTCTGCTGCACGTCATTGAAGTAAGTTTCACCGTTTATCTGTGACGAAGCTGTGATGTCATATCCTGCTGTTACAGTTTCCTGTGTGGCTCTCTTCCAGTCATCCAGGGACGTTCTGCTTTCTTTTTTGAGAGATCTTAAAGACATGCAACAACAGCCAGACGGGTAATGATGCTCTCTTGTTCTGCACATTAATACCACACAATATATGATGCAGTGTTGGGTTATGATGACGTGCATGGTCCTGCTCAGTTTGCCCTTTATTTTAAGCTTGGAAAAATGATCTTATTTCACAGTTTCATACATATTCTGTATATTCAAACCTCAGATGTTTTTAGGGCTGCATCGTTCCAAAAAATGGAAATATTGTAGATATATTTTGTGCATCATTTTATGCACACTACAACAAAATATAGTCTGACGTATTTTTTGTTTTGGACACTGGAATTCCACCAGAATTTAGAGTAAAGATCCTCAGGGTGTTGAACGATATTTGGCTTCTCAGGAAGAGTTGGTGAATTTTAGGAAGTTGAAGTTTTCCTCGCGGAAATTCAGCTCACATAATTATTTGAGCAACTTAGGATGATTTGCACATACTGTGTAATCTGTGAGCTCAGCGTCCTGATCCAGCTCATTCACAAGAAGATGTTGGTGTTGGAAGTTTCTGCAAACCACACACACACTTTACATTTGTTTGCTTCATACGTTACATGTCAGTGTTTTTAAAGAGATGTAGTAAATGAGCTGTGTCATGAGGAGGTGGAGGGGACGGGGGATGGTGTGAGTCCTCGTTAAGATGTTTGCCAAGTTGCAGACACTGTTTGAGACCAATGTATAATAAAATTGGTCATTGCTGTGTTTCCACCGGGGATAGGGCCATGAAAGTTGATTGTTTCTTACAGAGACATTGCTTTGCTTCCTGCTGAGATAGTGCCACGAAAAGCAGGTGATTTTTACAGACATTGCTATGTTTTCTGCTATGATGGTGCCATTAGAAGCAGCTGTTTTTTTTTTGTTTTTTTTTACCAAAACATAGCTGTGTTTCTTGCCTAACTAGTGCCACATAAAGCGATTGTTTTCTTACTGAGACATCGCTGCGTCTAACTGAGATAGTGCCACATAAAGGGGCTGTTTTTTACAGACGATGCTGCATTTCCTGCAACTTTTTAGCCTCCAAAATCAGGTATTGTGGACCATAACCAAGTGGTTTTTGTGCCTAAATCTCACTACAGTCTTGTTAAAACCTAGAAACTCAAAGAAATGTGAATTTACATAACATATCCACGACATCATAACGTACAAATGTAATGTATCTATGGTTTGCAGAAGTGTACAAAGCCAACATTTATTCTGGCCACTGGGTTGCCCAGTTAGGTCTTAGGTCTTAAAATGACTGCCTTTAAAAATCTGATGAGCTTTCTGTATTATTTCCCCGGCTGTCTGCTTTGTGTCACTGTATTTAATAGAATGATATGACACAGTCTATGTGTAAAACACGTTTCCTTTCAAAGTAAAAGTCCTTTACAGGGAAAAAAGAGATATATTTATATCACTGTTTCAAGATCAAGGTATGATTATGTATCAGTTTGACAACGATAGGAACACAGTGATCAGGTAACACTACAGGATTACTCCAAACACACTTAAAACATCTGAGTTACTTAAATACTACTTAAAAGTTGTTTTTTTTAAATGATGGTCACTGTGAAGTAGCTATTAAATATCCATCTGCTCATTTGCAAATTCATTTATGCATAATTTCCTTGTTATCGTGTTATAACTGCCTGGAATTTGATTTGAATTAATCAGTCAACAATTATCGAGGTCAACTTACTTCCTGTTTTCCTCCATGTGTAACTGTCCACATTGGTCCTCATGAGGTCACTGCAGAACAGAAGAAGGGGAGAGATGCCTGAAGTATATAATTATTATTTTACTTCCCTTTCCAGTGTCGTGCTGGAGGCTCCCAGGGTCGTGTTCATGGCACACAACCCTCAGAGCAGGCTGTTCCAACAGTGGAGCTACAAGGTTTGCTTTTATCTTCACATCTCAGGTTGTATTAACATGAGGCAAATACACATTAAAGTGTCTCAGTGAGGTGTCGCTCCACCACCAGCCTTCATCAAGCTCAGCTTCTCCCTCTCATTTGTCACCAATCTGTGTGTGTTATCCTTATGAATTATAATCTGTATGCATGAGTAGTGTTTGATGTTTTTGACTGAGGTGCTGGATGCAGATCAGGGGGCGGAGGACTCGGGGGTTAAGAGACTTGAGGAAGAGGAGGAGAGCACAGAGAGTCTGGTTTGTACGGTCCTGTCAGCGCTGCAGCTACTGGGTGAACATCTGCAAATATCTAAAAAGGTGTGTTTACTGTAAGAAGTGTGTAGTATCTTTGGGGATTAGAGACATTTTACCAGTTGTTTTGTGTTTCTATAAGCAGAAAAAAATAATGTTTATGAGTAAGATGTTCTCTCACTGAACTCTGAGGCCCTCCCTGGTTTGATGCTGGAGCAGCGTCCACACCTGATCGTCTCTCAGGATGTTCTCAACAAGCTTTTGACTCTAGACGACTTACAGACGCCACAACAACACCTACAGATGTACAACTCACCGTTAAACATCAGCATGGACTTCGGTAAGAGGTGTCTGACGACTCAAAGAATTTCAAACATAAATCTCAGGAACAGATTGTTGACTCTGAAGGCAAGAGGATACAGGAAGTCAAACTTTGCTGTGTTGTGATTGTTTAACAGGACGAGTTAGACGAAGCAGCTGCCTCACCAGAGTTTAACATTTTGGGCAAAAGGTCAAAGGTGAGAAACCTACATTATATTTTTTATCTGTAAGCTTTAGAAAACATGTACAAATACAGAGGAAATGAAGACAGAAGGATCTGTTTCTCTCTGTCTCTGTGTCTAACATTGAGCACAAATGAAACCTAATGCAGGATTTATACTTCTGCATTGAACTGACACCGTACCTAATTCTGCGTCACCATGGAGCCCATGCTGTACTCTACGCCGTAGCCTGACGTGCACCTCCCCAGGAATGTAACTCCACATTGTGGCGACAGACCACTTATGTGTTTCTGTAAGCTGAAACCATTTCGCTCAGTGGAAACAAAGCTTTGATTTACTTTAATGTCACAGGGAGGCAGGTTAGTGTGGTGGCTGTGTCAATCAAACACAGGACTTTTCCAGGAGACCAGTGTTTGTGTCCCGTGTGAAACCAAGTGAACTTGGAGTTATTTTAAAGTCGTCGTCAACACGTTTCTTTTCCCAAACCTAACGTACGTAACTTTACATTAAGTATGTAATGTGACAGTGCCATTCGTTGGAACAACTTCTATATAAGGATATGTGGCATCGTGAGCATGGTAACATTAGCATTTAGCTCTAAGCTCTACAGGGCTGATGTACAGCCTCACTAGCATGGCCGTAGACTCTTGCTGCACTTCTCTCTGCATGTTTTGAACGTGACCACTGTGTGTTTGAGATGTTCGGTTTGATGATTAGCACCGTGACTGCTTTGTCATCACGCAGCTCTGCATGCCTCGGCCATTTCAGCACCATCACTGTCGGACACTTTAAACTGTGATTTACCTCGCAATTCAAAACTGTAATCAAATGTTTTATGCCTCTGCAGAATGTGTTTGGCCTTCACCAAAGCACCGAGGATGTGACTGAAGCAGAGAGAAATCACTGCGACAGTTTAATACCAACATTTAATGTACCGCAGGACGCCTCTGGGATTTCTTTTTGTTGTTTCTTTCTGCTCCACATGATTTTATATATGAAACTTGTTTGAAGCAAAGAAAAGCACAGGAAGTCCAAGTAATATAAAAAAACATTTTTAATAGTTTCAACATTCGGATGAGGTTAATTTATTTCTATTTGACTGTACACTGTGTTCCACTTGGTGACCAGGAGATAGCATGTCCAAGAAAAAGGCATTTCCTCTTTACTCCAGACTTTAAAGAGTCGGCAGCGTCACTACAGTTTGACACAAAGAAAGATTCCTTGCTCACTTATGTGTTCCCTTTTTATTTTGGCCCCCGTTACTTGGAACTTAAGCAAAAAAGAAAAATCAAAGATGACTGGAGATGTACTTGCACTGGCTGCATGCACCACATTGTAATCTATAAACTGTATGTGTAAAAACAAACCTGTATGCAGCACGTTTTTTTTTCTGTTTGCAGTGTGAAGTCACAGGAACTTTTCAGGAGATTTAAGTCTGCTATAGCAAAGTACTTTAGAGCATAGACGGTCTCACTGCCGTCATGTTAGCTGATGGATTTCCTGACAATGGTCTGAGCCAGATGTGCTTTTCTTATTTGCTCTAGATAAAAAGGGTGACAGGTGCTGTATGAGTGTAACACAGGAGAGACATGATGAAACAGTAAATCATCAGTGTTTCGAGTTGATGGAGAGTTTGACTAAAAAAACGTCGAGGGCAGCACTTTTATAAAGGTCGATCTATTCACTTATAAAAAATAAATACAAGCACATTTATATAGGACCAAAGATGAGACATATTTCATAGGCATGGTTAAAAAGCATGCTGCCGAGTTTCACACAGGACAATGTCGAATCAAACGCCGCCCGCCCCCCTCCCTCCCCCCTCCCTCCCCAAAATTGGTCATAACACACTTTTTATCCAATACCCCACCACCTTCTTTTACTTGAAACTACACACACAATCCGCCTGGATCACAACCTCTGAGGTGAACATCGTCTACATTCCACCTACTCATGTAAAAAACAAAAAACAAAGGCCTTCGTATTTTAGAGCTCAAAGGTCATGCTTGCAAAAGCTGTAATACTGGAATCTGTCTCCCGACTGTCTCTGCTCGACAGGGTTATTGTTAATATAGTTGTGTTTGATGAACACCGTATGTACAAGCCTTAATCTGAAACCTTTAGTACAAAACGAAGAGCAGCACATTGTAACACAGAAATCAGACAAAGACAGGACAGACCATTCACCTCAGCACAGCCAAATTCAGACAATAACTTGTTTTAAAAAATCTGTTTTACAGTCAGCGTTAAGTTTTTCTTTTAATATTAAAATTTTAAATACTACGGTGGCCAGCGAGGGCTAATGCGCTACAGCGGACCAAAACATTTCCATCAGGAGAGTCATGGTGCAGCGTCAGAAACACAAAGACTAACGAAATGTGCTACAGAAACAGCAAAACATGCTGCAGATACAGAAACCATGCAAAGTCAAAAAACAACACATAAAACCCAGAGAACAGACGCAACAGAGAAACGCTGCATATCCAGTCAACACAATGGAAGTCCTCCAGGCCTCCAGGCCTCCAGGGGAGGGCCAAGTGAAACACACGAAAATGTTTGTTTTAGAAGCAGGAACAAAACTGGAACATGTTTGTATTCTTTGTGCATTTGGCCTCAGGACTCGTCTCCACATGGCTCTGTATAGGTTTGCAAGTCAACTGGAAGTCCATTCATTCCTATGAGACCTGGTTCTCACGGTCATGGAAAACCTGGAAAGTCATGGAATTTCACAATCACATTTTCCAGGCCTGGAAAAGTTATTGAATAAGTAAAAACCATTGACAATTGTGGAGAAGTCACGGAACGCTGTCACGGTCATCTTCCATAGATAACCTTCAGTGTGACGTAACATTACGTAACAAATTTATTTTGTGAAGCCGACGACGCAACGATCGAAATGTGACAACGTTTTGTTCACCATCACATAGATTTCTTCTTTTTCGCCCAGCGCTGCGTCTCTCACTTCATTTGTGCCCACTAGCTGAAACTGTGTTTGAATAGAGCTTGAGTCTGACGTGTTTGAAAAACATTATTATGTGTCCTTGAAAAGTCTCGGAAAAATTTTGAAATTTTGTCAATGAAAAAGTGGGAACTCCGACGAGAACCTCCGTGATCTCTGATGAGTTTACGAACTCCTTCTGTTTTTTTTTTTTGTTTTTTTTTCAGTCCAGAATTTGTGTCAAGTCAGTTTTGAACTTTTGCACAAATTTGTGTGAACATCGTGCCACAGGAAGTTAGCACAAAAACGATTAGCTAACAGACTGATAAATATACTACAGCTCTGTTCACGCGTTTTGTGGATTGACAAGTTTCGATGGCATGTTTAGCTAGCTAACACTGACGGTATGCTAGCTGTGTGACGTACAGATTGCGCACTTCGTGGTTCATACGTCTCTAAACAAAATATTTCAGTAAACTGGCCACACAGCTGACAGGCCGACTTTAACGCTTATTTGTCAGCGTGCATTATTTGTTTCTGTATTGCTCCTTGTACATATTCTATTGATTGGACGGCAACAAAAACATTCAAATGAACTTTTCCAGTGTTTCTGCAGTAGCGTCTTTATCTCTAAGTAAAGGGATGCATTTCCTCGTGTCAACAACAACTATACAAAAACACGGACACAAACAACACTGTGTAGAAATGAGGCACAAGTTTTTCACAATTTTATGAAAGAGCAAGAGATTTACGTAGCTAGCATAAGTATATAAGTGCCTTGCATGCTAACACTAGCTACATAAATCTGTTGCAGTTATTTAAGCTGTGAGTTTTTCGACTTTGCCTTGTTTCTGTATTTGCAGCGTTTTCTTGTCGTTTGCTTTTTCTTTGGCTTTTTGCAACATGTTCTTTCATTTGCAGAACACTTCATTTGAACTGGCATCTCATCAGAGCTGCACCATGTTTCTCCTGTTGGAAAGGTTTCGGGCCGCTGTAGAGCACTGGTCAGCCACAGTAAACTGGTGACAGCATTTCATGCTATATTCATTTAAACTGAGCTGGAGAATCTGATTGAGTAATTGGTATGGACTGTATGGACTGTTTTTCAAAGCAAACATTTTCTGGGACAATAAACCAAAGATTGAGAAAACAATCAGATTCACTGATAATAAAAATGATCATTAGTTGCAGCCCTAAATTGTAGAAAACCTGTAGTTTTTTTGCATGTTCTAATTCACATTTTTAACATCTACCTTATATCTAACATGGAGGACACAACTACGTCGTTTTCAGTCATGTTGAACTGAGGAGATTCGTTATCTGCTGTCAAACAGTCGAACTAAAAGAAAGAGACGCAGCAGTTTCCTTGCAGAGTCTCTTTAACCTCTTAAACCCTGCTGATCGATCCATCGGTGCAGCTGCAGGACAAACATTGTGCAAACCCACAGAAAACTCTTTTAAATCCTAAACAACTGTTTCAGAAGTATCAAATGTGCCGGGTTGAACTGTTGTAAAATGTATAAAATGACGCAGCAAAGACTTTGAGTTTTCCCTTAAATGTAGTATAGTATCATGTGGCTGCGATGACGTGTTTAAACCATTTACACTATTAAAAATGCAGTTTTATTAAACATCGTGGTCTTTTTTTTTTTTTTTCTAAGTGTAAAGCTAAAACCAGGGTTCAAGAGGTTAACTCTTAGTCTGCAACACAAGCACTATCAGCTGTTTTTATTTAGAAACTCTACAAACTAGATTTGACCTTGAGCCTACGTCAGTAAAGTTTTGACTGTGCGAAGCCTACGTGATGTTAGTTTGTGTGAATGTGGAATATTGTGCTCGAACCTGCAACATTATAACATTATATGTACACTATAACCTTATAATGTTCATTGGCATTTATAATTTTCAATACAGTATTTGTATATATATATATATATATATTTAAATTTCTCCCCTGTCAGTATATACACAGCACGAATGTACAGAGGCTCCAGTATTTACACAGTCCTGTGAATCATATCGCACTTTAAAGAGAGGATGGCAGAGCAGCACAGTGACTTTGAGGCCGTGTGTCGTGGATGTTCTCAGGACAAAATGGAAAGTCTTTCATATCTGGACGGGTCACAGCAGAACCCACCACAAGGCAAATAACAAGCTGCTGCTGACGTATGCAAACCTTAGTGCTCCAGTTTTATTGATTTTCAAGTTTCTCTTAAACCTCTTGCTTCCTGAAAAAGGTTTCGATGCGACAGCAGGAAATTCTGGTCCCGTGTTTGAATGCTTATTTTTTTTCTCATGTGTAGTGGAAACAATCACAACTCTTCAGACCTAGTAAAAAGTATTCAGAAATATATCTGTATAAATACTCTCATCAAAATAAACACATATACACATATCTTTGCCTCTGGTTCTCATATAGACCAAAAATATCAGCATCATCAGACAGGGTTCATGGAGAGAAACTGAAACTGCACCGTCAGAAAGAGAAGGGGCGCTTGTTTTTGTCACTGAGGCCTTTTTTTGTTTTTGACAAAAATAGCACCTTTTTTCTGGAGTGTGACAGTTTTCAGTTGTGTGTGATATGATGGGATGTTTTAATACCTCAGGACAAAGAACTGAGTCTTGTGCCAGCATGCTCTCACTCCGCTCAACAACACCAGGGATGATTCTCCACGTTTGTTACAGAGCCTGAAGTGTGCCATCAGAGTGATCGTAGAGTTTAGTTTTACCTGTCAAATTATTATCATCTCATAGTTTATGATTTCAGTCACAACTAGCCGCTCTCACAGTTTGTTTTCTCAGAGACTGGCAGGTGAACACAGTGGAGCGTTCAGCAGCTCAAAGGTTCTTCACCACTTCAACTTTGAAAGGTTGTAACGCACAGCTCCTCTCTGCTGAACTCCAAATCTAATTTTAACATTGTTATAAATCAAATGTTATAAAGCTCTTAGATTTTGCATATTGTTATTCCATTAACTTGTGTGTCTTCCAACTCACAATTAATTTGCCATTTCCCTTTTGAGAGTGGCTCCCTGTAGCTGTCATATATATGCACTGTGACACCAGACAAGGTATTCTGTGGAGGATTTGGCCACTAGCGTCGCCACAGAGCAATGTTCTTACGAGCGCGACAATGAACATGATACTAATGATGCAATGAAGGTGAAACAAAAACAACCCTGACTTCTAGGAATCACATTTCTTTGTGACACATCTGTTGTGGTGACAACATGAGGACGCAGGACTGAGACACCAGAATGTTCCTGTCCGCACTGTCTCTGGTTTGGTTTCGTCAACACAAGCACTTTGATTAAGGTCAAGGACAGATTGTGATTTCAGTTAAATATTAATAAAAGAGGTAATAACACAAATAATACTTTGGTCATTACGAGTGTTTACTGTAGTCCAAGTGAAAATCAAGCACATCGTCGGTGAACTGATGCATTTAGTTGCAAAACGATTAGCAACCTTTTATCGTCACATTTCCTTCAAACATATTTGCTTTCTCAAATTGGTTGTGGCCCGCGTCCAGATCTTGGAATCTGCCCACGCCACTGAGTTCACTCATTCATCTGGCATTTCGACATAAAACAGGCATTTCTCAGTTGAAATCAAATTCATACAATGAGCATCGTGAGGGTTTTCAATCAGCCAATCAGCACCACAGGCAGGACTAAGAGCCGCTTCATAGTGGACGCACGCAATTTTTGGGCTTTTTAAATTTTATTTATAAAGCCCAATATCACAAATCACAATTTGCCTCACAGGGCTTTACAGCATACGACATTCCTCTGTCCTTTGGACCCTCACAGCTGATCAGGAAAAACTCCCCAAAAAAAACCCTTGAACGGAAGCGACGCGGGCGACACTTGAAATGCAATACATCACTCGCGCAATAGGGGGTAGCAGAGTCACCGGTACATTCCGGCTAGCTAGCACTGCTATTATATTAGAGTGCAGGGCACTAGAACGGTCATATAAACAGAGTTTGCCCGTACGAGTTCGCAAAGGTTTTCCTCCTCGCCTGCCATATTTCATACCTGCTTCTTCTGTGAGTAACAAAAAGTGGTTAATTTCAAATACGTCACTTGCATTATCACCGCCGCTGGCAATGCGTAGTATTACACGCGTCGCTGTGTCGGGTATCAAAAAAATGTACAAAACATTTTGAGACGCTAGCACGCATCGTGGCGGCCAATGCATCTCGATGTGTCCCAGTGCGTTCGCGTCTGCGTGCCTTTGCTTTGACTATGAAACGGCCCTAAAGCTACTGTTACGCAGTGCGTCAGTCCGATGAGTGACAGCAACAATGGGCACTGTCGACGAGACAGACTCTGCTGTCAAGGCTGTTCTCAATCAGCATGTCTTCTCAAGTTCGTTAGCATGACTCGGCATCAGTGTGAACCTGAAATGACGTTAGAGTCAAACAGATATTTTGGTCTCTAGTGATTGGTTTGGGAAAACTGAATCCCCCTCCCCCACGGACACTGGTTAGAGAAGACGCAGTGTGTAACCAGATGATAATTCTGACATAAATCTGGCAAAACTAGTTGTATATAGAATTTCTCTGGACGGTAACGTTCAAGGAAACGCACCAATGAGCAGAGAAGGAAACAATAAATGGGCCTTGCTAATATTTTATGAGGGAAATGCATTTAAGACGTTTGTGTCTGGTGAGAAATACTGAGCGTAAACACAACAGGGCACCTTTAAAGAAACCCACAGGGCAGCAGCGACAGCTCTGATTGGCCACAGTCCTGCCAATATGAAACAGCTGGCCAGTCATTGATATTTACTAAGTGGAGCAAATGTTGTGGTGGCACACTCCAGGCTTCTTTGTCTCTCTGTGGAGTCGTGTTCTTCAAACTGATATAACCCAACATGGAAAATGAAAAACAACAGCTGCTTGTTGCCAAAATAACCACATTGAGTTTTTCATTTTCCAGTTTACAAGATCTTCTGCATCTGTAAAACCATCCCAGCTCGTCTGTTTCGTACCTGTCATAAACTACGTGTCTCATATGTTGAATAGCTCCCTGACAGTATCTACTATATTCTCTCTGTGTCTCTCCTGTAGATACAAAATATGATCTCATCTGATTTATAACGTTAATTGTGTCATAGATTCTGCAAATGTACAATATAAACAATAAATATTCAGTGATTGATGTCACTACAGAGAAAAGTGTGATTGGGTGTTTAACCTCTTTGCAACCTCGTCCTTGTTTTACTAAATCTCTAAAACATGCATTCCTGTTCACGCTCCACGACACCAACAGTGCAACATCATATAGTACAATTACCAAACACATAGAAACACACACACACACACACACACACACTTTTCCAAAACAACATACTGGCACACTCACAGTGAACGCTCAGGTGGGACAGAAATTCGGGGGTTGTTGCCACCACATGCCAGAGCGAGGCATTTCAACTGATACCCCTGAGGAATGGAGGAGGGACTTGAGACGGGAGATAAACAGAAGAAGAAGAAGGTGTCGGCAGGACAGATGTACAGTACTGTGTTCTTCCCTCTTAAAATTCACTCATGAGAAGCAGCAGCAGCAGCAGCGACGAGCACTCGTTCCTCCCTGCAGCCTGTGTCCAGTCTCGTGTGTGAAGTTAAAGGCAATATTGCAAGTGAATCAAATAAGGCAAAAGAAACATAAAACATGAAACTAAAAAGAAAACAGCGGAGATAAAATGTCAAATTGTTTCTGATCAAAAGTCCCCTGACGACATCGCCGCTAACACCTCCTGTGATTTCTCTTAGGTGTGTATTTTCTGTTTTACCTCCTCTGGATGGAGTACAGGTGTGACGATGGGCTCCAGAGTGAGGCTGAAGTGATCCAGCTGCAGAGGTGAAAGGTCAATGAATGAGTGTGTGTGTGTGTGGGGGGGTGTTTGAGCGAGATGATGAAGCAGTAGCGTGTTTTGTTTAATCAGCCGACAGATGGGGGGGGGGAGGGGGCGACTCAGTGGCGTCATAGCACTGTGCTCTCAGTCTCTTCCTCCGACTCCCCTCTGTTGGTGGTCAATTCAAACAGTGCCACTGAGTTCCTGAAGGGGGCGATGTGGGGCAAGTCAAAAATACCGTCCAGGTCCACGTTAATGATGGGGATGTCCAGGTTGCAGAGAGAATCTGGCAGAGCAGAGACAGACGGGATGAATGTTGGTTTGGGTCCAACACAAAAAACAAAAGAAGGGAAACAGATCATTCCACATGTGGTTTCATTGATGACGTTACACAGCAGAGTCATCATACGTTCACACAGCAGTTACTGTATGAATACATTATAGGGAATGCATGATGGGGTGCAAAGTATGTAACAGGGGTGTCCGCATACTTTTGGCAATGTAATGTACTATATATATATATTTTATTGATCACAAGACGAGTCCTGCTGAAGAAGCAGGGTCACGTTATGTTTTCACTCAAACAGATTGTGAGTCCAGTGACCTACGAGCTGCAGAAGCTGCCCTCTCACCACCAGAATAACATTATGGCATTGTACCTTTCTGCAAACCACAGATACATTTGTGTCATGTCAACGTTTCATCAGAAGCATTTGCGTTACACATTTTTACATTTAAGTTAGGTTATAATTAACTAAGTTAAGATATGTAATGAATAAGGTGAAATAGGGGCAGGGACTTAGAAGTTTTACTTCCACCTACTCCTTGTTTTGTGTTTTATTTTTGTTTTCACTTGTCTTATTTTAAATGTTCCAAATAAAATAATTTATTCATTCATTCATATTGTAAACCTTAACTGTATGTTTTTCTAACCCTAAACAAGTGGTTTTTGTACCTAAACCAAATCATGTCTGGACATTTCCAGCTGTGTTTGTGGTGACAAAATCAGGTACTTTAAGTTTTGACATAATGTTTTTTTTAACCCTAAACAAGTGGTTTTTGCGCCTAAACCAAACCACATCTGGATATTTCCAGCTGTGTTTGTAGCAACAAAAGCGTGTATTTAACAAGAGTTGAGACATTCCCAGCTGTCTGTGGAAATAAAATCAGGTATTTTAAGTCCTGACATTATGTTTTTTAACCCTAACCCAGCAGCCTAACCCTAACCACAGGGAAACCAGAGTGTTATTAAAACCAGAGCATGTGAGCGGAGCGGGGAACGGGGAGCAGAGCGGGAGTGGGAGGATTTTGTGTTGAGCGAGGAGCGGCTATTTTTTTAAAAGGTGGAGCGGAGCCTTATCTCTCGCTCCAATTTCGCTCCGGTCGCTCATGCCCCACCCAGAATGCATCTTTGCACCTGCGCACATCCACACTATTTTCTTTCAAAACTATGGAGTTTACTGTGTACTTCAGAAAAGAAACTGAGAAGAGAAGCAGCGGAACCTTGGAGAACGGTCCCTAACTGCGGGGAGAGGCGAGAGGGCTTCGGAGGTCGGCTGCTTAAGCCGGTCCGTCTCCTCTACATTTTGACTATTTCCACCCTGCCAGCGGTACCATGTAGAACGGTCCCTAACTGTGGGGAGAGGGCTTCCCCGGAGAATCTACCAAGCTCATGTTTTATTGGTGCCGTAGCATTGTTCTGACCTTTCATTAGTCCGACCTCTCATTGTTCCAACCTCTCATTGTTCCGACCTTTCATTAGTCCGACCTCTCATTGTTCCAACCTCTCACTCTTCTGACCTCTCACTGTTCCAACCTTTCATTAGTCCGACCTCTCACTGTTCCGACCTCTCATTGTTCCGACCTCTCACTGTTCCGACCTTTCATTGTTCCAACCTTTCATTGTTCCAACCTCTCATTGTTCCGACCTCCCACTGTTCCGACCTCTCATTGTTCCGACCTCTCACTGTTCCGACCTCTCACTGTTCCGACCTTTCATTAGTCCGACCTCTCATTGTTCCGACCTTTCATTAGTCTGATCTCTCATTGTTCTGACCTCTCATTGTTCTGACCTTTCATTAGTCCGACCTCTCACTGTTCCGACCTCTCACTGTTCCAACCTCTCATTGTTCCGATCTTTCATTAGTCCGACCTCTCATTGTTCCGACCTTTCATTAGTCCGACCTCTCATTGTTCCGACCTTTCATTAGTCCGACCTCTCATTGTTCCGACCTTTCATTAGTCCGACCTCTCATTGTTCCGACCTTTCATTAGTCCGACCTCTCA